GGTCACCTCCGGGGCAGGCGGGAATTGAACTCTTTCAGAAGCGGCTTTAGATTCTCAGGGCTGTGCTTCAACCCGCTGCGCCACCAGGGAGGGCCATCTGTTTGTTTTTTTAATCCTATTCTGACCCTAAGAGCTCTCCCCTTGCCCTAGGCCCAAAATCTTCTTTGAGTCTCTGTGTTCCAGTGTCCCAAGAGCTCCTCAACATTTTTAAACTCCAAGGCTTTTATGCCTGAGCTCTTGGTGGACAAAATCTTTTCTGCTGGAAGTGGAGGAGGAAGATGCTACCCAGTGAGCTGGAGAGCAGCCCTCTTGAAATTGAAACCTAAACTAAATGGCTAAATTGTTTTCAGATCCTAAGAGCACAAAAGGAAAAGAAAAACAACTTATCTTTTTTGAGGCCTGTTGTCCACAGCCCCTCTGATGTCACCACATGAGCAAAGGCTTTTCTACAACCTTGACCCCACTACCCAGACTGGCTGGGTGCTGAAATCACAGGAGAAAGGGTGGGAGCAACTTGGAGGCAGAAGCCCCTCCCCTTCTTTAGAGACCAAGGCTCAGAGAGTAGTTGCTTTCCTTCCTGGCAAACATTCCTGAGAAATGATTAGGTGTGTCAAATGCTAGCCTGTTAGCTTCTTTGTTAGAAGAATGAAGCTAAGGAAAATAGAGGTTTTATTGACAGACATCTTGGAAATCTTGAAGGCTCAGAATGCAAACAGTGGCAAGCTTGCAATCCTCAGACTAGAGCCACTGCCCAGAGATAACTCCAGGGAATATAAGCACTGACTCAGCACAAGTGCATTATTCAAGCCCTTTAAAATGCCCCTCAATTTATTTATTGTAAGAAAATAAGTTAAATTAATATATCCCTCTTCTTGACTTTAACTTGAGGTGGTTCATTAGGAGAGGAGTCTGGCCATCTCCATAACCCTTGTATCTGAGTAAATTTCATTCTTTACACCAGTTCTTGATTGGTTTGCAGGTGGCAAGTAGCTGAACCTAGGTCTGGCCTCACTACCATGTGGTGAAGTGCAGTGGAGAATGAGCCTGATGACATTACTGGAAATTCTGAATCAAGATCTTGGGTAGAAGATGCCTATTTTCCATGGCTAATGTGCCACCCATGAAAAAGGGAGCCCTTTAAATACAGCATTCCAGTTTTTCCCTAGTCTTAATGAGGAATTAATCTGCTCAGTCTATTTGGGAAGACTAAGTGCATTGTAGCCTAGGTCCTCCTTCTTCCCACAGGGGCATATATTTTGCTTAGCAACTTCAGGAAAGGAATTTCAAAGAGACCTGTTCTGGTCCAATATTGCTGATTTTGGGGGTATAAGTAACCTCCTATATGATCCAGCAGTTCCACTCCTGGGTATTTACCCAAAGGATGCGAAAACATTTATTAAAAAGAACACCTGTGGGCCCTCCCTGGTGGTGCAGCAGGTTAAAAGCACAGTACTAGGAAGCTTAAGCCACTTCCACATGAGTTAAGCCACTTCCGCATGAGTTCGATTCCCGCCTGCCTTGGAGGAGATCCACATGGTGTGGCAGACCTCCCTTGACCCGCCCACTCCTCCCCTCAGCAGTGTACTTCCTAGATCTGCCAGTTTTTCTTCCCCCTCTGTCTCTGGTGAATCCTCTCACCCTTTGCATCTCTGGCCTGTACCCCAGTTCTATATGAATAAATAAACAAATCTATAAAAAAAAAAAAGAACACCTGCACCTCTATGTTTATTGCAGTAGTTTTCACAATAGGTAGGCTACAGAAACAACCCAATTGCCCCAAAATAGATGACTGGATCAAAAAGATGTGTGTGTGTGTGTGTATGTGTGTGTGTGTATATATATAATTATATATATAAAATGGAATATCACTCAGCAATCAAAAAAGATAAATTCATACCACTTGCAGCAACATGAATAGAGCTGGAAGGGATCATGCTTAGTGAAATTAGCCAGAAAGAAAAAAGAAAAATACCAGATGTTTTCTCTTATAGGGGCAATGTAGGGGATACAAATAAAGGATTGGGGGAAAATGTAAGTCTAATTCTAGATTTTGGTATTAGGAAGTGCCTTTGCCTGCAAAAATAAGGCACATCTCCCACCTCAGCCATTATCAGTAACACAGGCTCTTATCTGTTAAAATTTATCCTTTTCGTCTTATTTTAAAATTTAATGACTTTCACTTGATGAGAGCATGAGGTCGGCAATCTGTCATCATATGTGCATGGAATATAGTTTAGAGCTATTCCTGTCACCTTATTTGTTGTTGGGTTCAAAGAATGGACTTGAAAACTCTAAGAAAATATTTGACAAATATTTATTTTCTATATTGAGAATGACTGTTCAATTGCAGGATGATTTCTCAGAGAGCGACCACAGGTGTGTGCTGCAGGGCAGTTAGCCATCATGGCAGGTTTTGTTCAGAATTTTGTACCTTTCAAACCAGGGAATAGCATACACTGAGAAGTAGCAGTTGATTTGCTAAAAACAGAAACATTATTAAAAAGATCAATATGCAAGGGAAAAGAAATGGGTATTAACAGACATGGATGGGAAAATTACACCATCTCATTATGTTGCCAATCTAGAAATGCTTTGAATTTTATTTTGACTCCAATCACTTGATAGTATGAAATCATCCAAGAAGATATTCTTCTCTTTGTTGTTAGAATTGGAGATGTCTACCCACCCTTATTTACCATGGGAACAATTTCTTTCCCTTAATTTTTACTAGTGTGTTTCTTAAGCTATACACAATTTTATTTTATTTTTTTAACTAAGGAAGGTCCACTGTTTTACATTTCTGTCATTGTTTTGGCAATGTGGGATTTCTCCCTTCAGGTATGGCATTGTAGCTCTCCCACTGCCAAAGCTCCCCTCCGTGCCCTCATCCCACACCCATTCTTCACCTCTCCCTCCATCTCCCCCTCCTCCCTAGAATGCTTCACAATTATGGTCTGTTTTCAAAGGTTGGTTTCAACGTTTGTCTTTGACCCTTTGCCTGTTTTTTCTGTATTCCACATACAAGTGACACCGTCTCTTACTAATGTATTCTTCCCTCCATACCTTCCCTTTCTTGGCCTCTACTGGTTCCCTCTTTCCTTCCCTTCCCTCCCTTCTCCCCTTCCTTGCCTTCTACCCTCCCTCCCTTTCCACCCTTCCTTCTTTCCATTCATGTATCTTCATCCACTCATCATCCTTTCTTTGACTTTTTTTCACCCAATTCATCATCTTTCCTCCCTTTTATCCTTTCTTCTTTTGTGTGTCTACCCACCAATCATTTCTTTCTCCTCTTTTTTGTTCCTATACTTTCAAATAATTTCTTTTTAATTTCTCTCTTCTCTCATAGTGGAAAACAATATACATATTTCACATAATTTCTTAATATGACATTACTTTCTTGTTCTCCACTTGAAAGAGTAGGATGGTTCAGAAACATTTACATTTCTTTCAAAATAGGAATCAGAATAAAAATTCCATCAATTCTACCTCTCACATCAGTGAATTCCTCTGGTTTTACTTTGTTGTTATTTTCAGTCATTCTTTTCATAGAATTCATAATTCTCTCCAGGGAAGAACCACAAAAAAACTGCATTGCAGGATTTTGAAAAGTTATCCTGTTGAAATTGTGTTGGGGGGTCATGGATGGACATGTTTTTGCACCGGGAACACCTAGACTCAGATCATTGTTACTGGAATGACCATATAATTTGTAAATGAAACTGGGACACATTGTAAATAAACAAGGATGTTATTAATGATTGCAATCAGAGTCTAGGTGTAAATCGGAACTATTCCAGGCAAGGCAAAATGTACAATCATCCTCATTTGGACTCACTTGGGTTAGGGGGCAAGCAGCAGGTTTGAGACTCTGAAGGTCTAGCATGGCCATGCACATTATGGTGAGGGTGGTTTGGCTGGCCTCCCTTGGATGCGACAACACTGGGTGAAAAAGAAGCTTGCAGGGGACCACACTACTGTTGTGGGATCAGGGGATGTGACGCCCCAGCATGAGCATTCAGGTTTTTTCCCCTCCCCCCTCCACTCTGAGTGGACTATTGAACTATTTCTGAACTTATTTTCTCATCTTCTCTTTCTTTTCGCCAAAACACTGATGAAAAAGCTGATGAGAGGAAAATAGCCCAGTGGTAGCTGTATACTCTTTCAGGCTGATGGATGTTCAGAAATCCAGCAGGATGCATCAGAAAGTTGTCTTTGCAGTGAAAATATTAAAATTAGCAACCTCCCCAGTACTTGGAGCTCAGCCACCTCAGTGCCTTCCTCTATGTTCTCAGTAACAAAGGACAAACCTGCTGGTCAGGACCCACATGTTCCCTCTTTGAGAAAGAAGTTATTATCCATACACCATTCTAAACGACCTTGACTATCTCCCCAAGGATTCAGTCTTACCTCATCCTAGACCACAGAAACTCCCCCATGAAAAACGAGGTCTTCCTGAGTCAATGTGCTTTCAGTTTTTACCTTATAAAGCTCCCCTTCCTGAAAGGTACAGTTAGTCATCTCCAGCTTTTGACAGGTAGTCCGCCTCATCTCCAAATTCACATGATACTCCAGGTGATCAGTAACCTGTGGGAGCAAGTCACAAGGAGATAAAAGACTTCTCCCTTTGTAATTATTTCTGGTATTCTTTAATGTGTTGCCCACAGTCAAGGGCCAAACCAGGACAGATGGGTGGGCTCCCTTTACCTTTTCGCATCTGACTCCCAGGATTCCTTTTGTCATTTGAGAACTAACCAAAAGCATTCTGTGGATAAAACCACCCCTTAGGTAACCCAAACAATGTTAGATGTTTGGAGAAAGCATCTGTAAACTTTGTGAAGGGTCAAAAGTAAACATTTTGTACTTTGAGGGTCATATGACTTCAGTTGCCATTACCCCACTCTGCCAAGGGACCCTCCAAGCCACCCTAGATGAGATGTGCATACAGGGTGTGGAGTGCCCAATGGAACTGCCTCCAAGTATAGGCATAGCAGGTTGAGCCTTGGGCTTCCATTTACAATCCCTGACCTGAGGATCATTTAGGCGACATGTTCATCTACTCCACTGAATTTCTGTTTCTCTTAAAATGCCCACTTCAAACTAAATAAGACTGAATTTCACCTGAATGGACTTACCCCAGAGTTCCAGCGGCCCCTGGAAAAGGAGCACGATGAGGAGACAGGAGGGGCTCACACTGACCTTCTTTAGAATCTTCAAGATCCGCACAATCCGGAAGTTGTACTGGTCGTCACTTTCCTTGTTGAACTGGCTGGTGACAAACTGCATGGTAGCTGACACATAGAATTCTGACATAGAAATTTCTTGGATGCTTATAAAGGTTTTCTTTCCTGCTTGGTAGGTGACAGTCACCAAGACCACCAGAATGGCTAGAAGGAGCTGGGGTCTCTTTTGGGATCTGGCCATCTTCCCTCAGCCAGGAACAAATAAAAGCACTTCTGTGCCTGCCTGGGGCTGTTCAGGTCCCTTGGCCCTTTCTAGTCGGGCCAAATTTAAGCACAGTGGTGGACACCCACAGCTCTCTTCCTCCTCCTTTTCCTCCTGCTGAAACTGAGAGAAGGGCAGGGGAGGCTTTAGGATGGTTGGCAAGCTCTTCCTCTCGTGCTTCTCACATATCTGGTATCTCACACACATGCAGAAAGGAAAACACCCTTCTCATCTCTTTTGGGTGACTGTCTCTCAGCAACACACTCCTCACACTGGCCTGACATTTTCTGGGTAGGAGCCAAGTCAGGGCCTCCATCTGCCATGAAGGCCGTGGGAGGCCTGGAGGGGCAGGAAGCAATGGAGACATGGGGGATGCTATATCCTGAGCAAAGGAGCATGAATGTGTGAGCTTGGTGTACACCACATCCTCCCTGGCCTCTTGAGCTTCCTTCTGACTTTTCACCTACTCTGACAAATTTTACATTCTTCCATGGCGCCTCAGTTTGACATATGTCTAAATAATATTCAGTAATATTTATATAAAACATTGCATACAACTTTATGGAGGTTCTAGATCCTTAAATCCTACCCATGGCACAAGCTCTGAATTAAGAAACTTCCTACACTCAAATGTAATGAGGCATTGGCCATGTTCAATGCTTCCCTAGAGGTGACCTTATATATCTGTGTTTGTTCTAGATCCCTATTTTCAGATAAGATTCCATTCCTACCTGGTTCCTGGAATTTTCTTGGAAAAAACTACTATAAACTTTTACTTCTCAACCAGCTTATTGTTGTCTTTCTCCCCACACCAGTCCTGGAGGGTAACCCATTCTGTCCCTTGGAATCCCAAGTTGGCCACCAAGGTGCAAACACCCCTTATTCACTGTTTCACTTGTCCCTTCTCCCTTGGCTTTTTTATGGTAATATGGGCCAGTGGACTTGATGTTAAGGGACATGCTTTCATGATTTACTTTTCTAGAACATTTATGTTATGAAAGGAAGCCTGTTCTTCTTGGTAGCAGGCTTTTCGCATCCCACTGAGAGTCATTTCAGATATTGAGATTGAAAGTGGGAGGGAAAGGTCAGAAAGGCTTCCAGATCCACTTTGGGGAGAGCATGTGGCCTTGAGTATACTGGGGCTCACCTATTGTGTCTGAAGCCACTGCTCTGTGGGGGATGTTCTCTTACTGTCAAACTGTCACGGCAGGTTGATGGGCACACTGAGAACATTGGAATGACTGTTTTCTGTTGTAGAAAAGGCAGGACATAAGCCAGGGTTACAGGGGTGAAGGAATTTACCAGAAACAGTAAACAGAAAAGGTAGAGTACTTGCAAGGGAGCAGGGGGCCAGATGGGAGATATAATCTGTGAAAAAGAATGACTTAGAACTCTTCTGTACTCTCTTGGGGTGCCAGTTTGTGTCAGTTATCTTCTGGAATGTGTCCTGACTCTGCTTTAGCATTCCTGGAACTCTGCAGTTCCGGGTCAATGTAGTGGGTCTGAGGCCAGGTCCCCATTAGCAATTGCCATTATCTATTCAGGCCTCCCAAACTTGCCTGCTAGGTAACGAGTGGGGTTTTAATATTTATTTATTTATTATTTATTTATTTTTAAAGATTTATTTATTTGCACATACAGAGTTGAGGTACAGGCTAGAGGTGCAGGGACGGTGAGAGGATTCACCAGAGACAGAGTGGGGAGCAGAACAGGCAGATCAACAAAGAACACTGCTGAGGGAAGCAGCCGGTGGGCCAGGAGCGATCTGTTGTGCCATGTGGATCACCTCTGGAGCAGGGATTGAATTCATACTGAAGTGGCTTTAGCTTCTTTGTGCTGCACTTTAACCCACTGCACCATCAGGGAGGGCCCGGGGTCTTAATATCTAACTTTGGTGATGACAATCTTACATTTCCTCTTTTCCCAAGAGGATAATGATAAATCTTTGAAAATGGGACAGAAGTCTGGGTTCTATAGCTGCTTTGAGTTGAATTTTGGGGAATAGAGATGGTTCTACCTAGATTATTATCATCTTGGGAAAGTGGAGAATGGGGTGCCAGAGGGAATGGGATGGTCATGCTTGGGATTTTAGGCTTGGGTCAATTTTAGCTGTTACGTTTTTCTCAAGAGACTATGAATGGTGTCAGTTAATGGCATACAAAATGGGCTACCCAAGAGCCCAGATCCTACAGTTCTACATATGTTTTTACCTCTAGGCCTTGATGCTTCATGGTTGATAACTCATGATCAGAAGCTGTAGTTTTATGGTCTATAAGTGGAATGATACTAAACAAAAAGTTAAAGAATGCAGGTCTTAGAAAGACCTGACGGAAGGGACTTTGTAAAAGAGATTGTAGTCCCTTTCAAATCTCTGGCTTGAGGGGGTATTGTGGCTTCCTAGAAAAGCTGTGAAGATTTTTTTAAAATGGCATCCTAACAGGGATGGCAAAGAATTCTCTGCCAGGAACTGTAGAGTCCCAGATTTTTGAAGGTGCAATAGCCAAAATGGGAGAATCAGAGAATTTTGTGTCCTCCACACTAATTTACTGTCTGCAGTGGCAGCTAATAGGGAAAGAAGTGGCTGCAGAGGCTCTGACAAAGCCTAGTTTGGGGTTTCGTCACCATGACCTGTCCTAACAAAGAAATGGGACATGAAGGGAAGGATCCAAAATGAATGTGTAAACATGGGATCTCGCAGTGGGCAGGGCAGCAATACTGTAAGGCATCCTGGCTTGGGTTGGCCTTCAATAGCAGTTAGGAAGGCAGTCACCCTGGGTTAATCCAGAGAATTGGAGTCATGCAGAGTAGATGCCTACCAGATCCACTAAGCACTAACCATTAAGCAGATCTCTTATCTGCTATTTCTAGGATAGGCAAGGTTCATCCACAGAGATGGTAAATAGGGAAGCCTGTCTCACCACTGAGAAAAGAAGGTCTTCTTCTCTTGTATCAGACTCTTAATAGTCAATGGCCACAGTGAAAGGCAGTTGCTGGCCACCCTGCCTTCCCATGTGGCCTGTGGTTTGGGCTGCTCCCTCCCTCTCTGGAGAGTGCCAGAATGCACTTTCTTCCAATGTCGTAGAGGGCCTAGCCCTGGGAGCTCTCTCTTTAGATAGTCACAAGTGAGGTGTCCTAGATGCTGGCAGAGGAAATAGAGTAGGCCCCTTCAGGAGACGCGGGCCCTCTAAAACTCCTCATATAGTCTCCAGCTTCAGGGATTTTTAAGTTCTTGGATCCTTATAGTTCATGCGGATACATCTCATCAACTGATATATCCTCGTGTCCCACAGATATCCAGTCAGCAAAACAGCTCCCTGTACTCAGAGCAAATTGACAAGGGGAGTCGACCAGTGCTGGGGTTCCAGGTGCATGGATGTGTCACCAAATTGTGCTGAGAGGGAGGAAGTCAGTTATCAGGACTCCCTCCTAGACTCTTAAAGGTAGCTGTATTTTTGTGTGTGTCTGTGTGTCTGGGGGCAGGTAGGCAAGGTGGGGCCATGGAGGAGAGTCTCAGCTCTCAGCCAGGATCCTCCCAACCTCCCCTAGAACATGTATCATCTGCCAGCTGTGCACATGCCTGCCTGGGGTCAGATGTAGGGCCTGTCCGCAGGTCAATAATTTGCCCTTTCTCCACTATGTTTACTTTTACTCATCCTCCTGGACACCATCCAAGGGTTGTCTCCTCTAGTGTCAGTAGTGAGTGGCCCTTCATCTGCCCAGGATGCTCTGGATGCTAGACCCCTGGGCCTGCTTCAGTTAGAGTACACTTGGCTGTCTTCCCTTTCTTACTCTTCCTATCTACTTCTGCCATGACTTTAAATCCCTAGGGACCATGAAGCCTTCATCAGTAAGTCTTTAGTGTGCACTGAGAACTCATAAATAATGTGCACACTCCCCAACAAAAAGATGTCATTGTCCTAATCCCCAGAACCTGATAGTAGCCTGTGTTATTCCTCTTCCCCATACCTACTCCTTCCTGGAAAAAGGGTCTTTCCAAATATGAGTAAATATCTTTTAATAAAAGAGATTACTTTGGACAATGGGGGGAGAGGAACCAATATCATCACAAAGGTTCTTTTAAGGAGGAGGCAAGAGTTAGAAGGCAGTGGAAGGTATCGAGACAACAGAAACAGAGAGATGTGAAGACTGATACTCCACTGGCCTTGATCGTGGAGGAGGGGTTGACCGCCATGGAATGCAAGTGGCTCTCGAAGCTGAAAGAGGTAAAGAAGGGGGTTTTCTTTAGAGTCTGTGGGAAAAAATGCCACCTTGATTACTGGCAACAGTCATTTTCTTCTGGTCTCCAAATAGTAATAAAGCAAATTCTAACCTTTAAAGGTGAACTGGATCATTATTTTGTCACTGAAGGTGGAATGTAAGACTGTTATCACATATGGTTTTATTCTCTCCTCTTTATTCCCTATTATTCAAAAGCTCAGTAAATCCTAATGCAGCTGAATCCCACAAAATCCACACATCATAATCAAACTACTGAAAACTAAAGGCAAACAAACAAACAAAAAAACCCTTCAACCCCACTAGATTAAAAGACCTGCTTGCACGAGAACAAAACTTCTATTATTACATTTTATACACTGAAGCACCACAGTCTTAACTTTTATTTTCAACCATTATTTACACACACACACACACAAAGAACTTAAAAGGAACTAATCACTCTATTTCCCAAATATTTACAACTATGTCATTTCCTCTATTCTTGGTGTTTCATGTTAACATTTGGTATCATTTTCTGTCTCCTTATAATACATGCACTGGCAATGAAATAGCTCAGCTTTTCTTCAACTGATAACATCTTTCTATCACCATACTTTCTAAGATATATTTTCACTAAATATGTAACTCTGGTTTGGCAGTTCTTCAGTACTTCAAAATTTTGTTCGACTTCTGGCCTCTGTGATTTCTGATGAACTCTTTACAGTCATTTGAATCTTTGTTCTAGAATCTCTGTTCTTCTA